CCCAGTATTTCGTGTTCCTGCAAAACTTCTACAGGTGTGATTTTTATGCTCGAGCGGGTTTCTTTACGCTCGAAGGTGCTCGCTCGAGCGGGGAATCTGGGCATGTCCACTAAGTTCAACAAATATAGAGGATGTTTATGCTGGAAGAAAAATAAAAAATAAATATAGAGTAGAGAATTTATTAATAGAAAACTGAAAATTTTAAAACGTACGATACGAATCTGTGCAGTCAATGCATCAAAAAGAAGCATCCTTCTTGAAAGTGGTTCACCAACATCACTTGCAATCTTTATAGCTTCAAGGGCTTGGTGGCAGCCAATAATACCAGGAACTGTAAAATTATATAAAAGTAGAGCAAATAAATAAAAGAAATACATCACTTGCAAGCCAGGTGAATTTGCAAGGAAATAAGGACTGGACTGGAGACTCCAAATATGTACAAAATAGCTTGCACATTAAAGCATCTTTCTTAGTGTCATCCTATGCCTTCCCATAGCAAGTTCAAGGTCCACCACATAAAGACAAAGTACCATGTTAGGCAACTAAAAAACTGATAGCTGAGGAAAAAGAACACAAATCATGACACGACCACAATATGCAATGTTGTCAGCAAATCCTGCAAGGCACTGAGAATCTGCAGATCATCTTCTCAGTTATTCACTGTGCTCTGAGGTTTTCTGAGATCTTGTTCCAATCTCTAAAGGAACCCCGCAATCCTTTGCTATGCCTTCACCTATCAGTGAGCTGTCATAAATTTTGGCTCATCCAGGTTGTGGTAGTCAACATTGGTAATGTATTAAAGTGATTACATCCATGATTATGGAATGAAACCAAAAAAAATATAAAAAAAATTATGACTTCATTTTTCAAAACTTAAAGCAATTGAGATTATGGCTTTGAAAGTAGAGTCGAATTAGAGTTCTTTTTTTTGATAAATAATAAATTTTATTGAGAAAGCATCAAGATGATGCAACTAAAACAAAACAACAAATAGAAGGAAACAAAACTCACCTAACCAATTACATCATCCAAAAAATTGAGTCGAATTAGAGTTCTTGACCATCACTCTTACTTACATTCCCTTTTGTGATACCCATTTATAATATATCAAAAATTTCACAACGAGATAAATTAGAAATATGGCCACGAATACAACAACAAAAAACTTTAAACTTCACCTTTCAAAACTTATGCAATTGGGACAAAGCCTTCAAATGTAGAGTTGGGTGTTATTGACCATCAGGTCCATCACTCTTACATTCCCCTTTTGTGAATACCCATTCTTCTTGCTAATATATCAAAATTCTAGTAACGAGATAAACTAGAAATATGCAAGGGACTCGAGAAATGCAAACAAGGACAGACAGCTAAAGGACAACTCCCAGGCAAACTCAGATTTTTCTCTCTTTAAATTCAAGATTGTAGGCAATATTTCTAACTGAATGGACTAAGACACAACATATTAATGGCTTACCGATTCCCAGAACACCACTATCAGAGCATCTTTGACATGCTGTCATAGGAGGTGGAGTTGGAAATAGGCACCGATAACATGGACCTCCATTGTAATTGTAGACTGTAAGCTACACAAATGATTTGAGGATGCAGTTGCAGTAAGAATTTGAACAATATAAAAAAGAGTTAATTACATTCTGTAGTCCCAAATCCATATAAAGAGTTTTCCACATGTTCATATAGGAATTAGTGAGAAAATTGCTAATACTGTTTTTTACCTGCCCTTCCAATCCTATAGCGGCACCTGATACAAGAGGCTGCATGCATAAACATTGAGGTTAATAATCAGAAGATTAACATATGAAGACTAAACTATTTCATTGGATAATACATACAAGCTTGATCAAATTTGTCCTTAAATCTACGATTCTAATAAATAAATGAACATATATGACAATGGAGCTAAAAGAGAATTCAGTGAATAACTAGGAGTAGAAGAACTGAAGGTCTGCCACCTTAATCATTTTAAGAAGATTCAGATACAAGTCAACATTTATACGTCGAGGAAAAAACAAGAAGAAATTCCACAAAGCTAACTTTGAAAAGGACGAGCAGCATACTTACAAAAGCACTGTGTCTTAAATTAAGCAACAAAGGAATGAACTCACCTGCTTTGGCCACAATGATGTCAATGAATTCTACAGCTCCATCTGTTTGGCAGACAAGTCCTTCAACCCCTCCTTTAACTTCACTTGGTGGTGTTTCTTTTCCTCTAGTGTACTCACTAGTCTATCGAGAAATCTGAAAATTAGATGCACACTACAGTCAATACTTGATATTGTCACAACTCATTAGGAATAATAAGCATGGCATCATGAAACCAAAATACTAGTAATGTGCACAACTGGAGGGAGAGGGATAATCAAGCAAACTGCAGTTACTGGGCAAAAACCATCAAGATCAGGACAAAAAACTTCTGAATCGGTCATAACAATAGACAGTTGATTCCTAACAACAACCAAAAATGCAAAGACTTATTGGGATCGCACAAAATATGCATCAATCAAATACCAAAAGAAAAGTCATGTAAATATAATATAATTGTCATTTGTGAATTCTCAATACAGATTGGTTTCGTAAACAATAAGTGGGGGAGAAGAAATTTGACGGTGAAGGAAATGGACAAGGTATAAAGCTTGTTGAATAAGAAGAATGCTACACCTTTTTGAGTTAAGAATCATGATCTGATCCTTTGTTTTTCTATTTGTCAGTGAGGAGATGGCCAAAGAAACATCAGACAACATCTTCTGAATTGTATCAGAAGAGTACTGCTGCAACACTAAAGGAGCAACTGCCTGGACTTGATGTTGCAAGGACAGAGTTTCGTTATTTGTCAACTCCGTCAACCACTAATTCAAGAATGCTTTAATCTGGCACCAAATATCAATTGATGTCAAAATGCTTTGATATCATAACCAAAAGTCAAACAAAAATATTAAGTTCACAAAGGATTGTGTTGTTACATTCTCGTGCCCTTTTACACGTGAATACAACCGAATGTATTAAACAACAATGAATGTTTGGAAGGAAAAAAAACACATTTCCATCAGTACCTAATTAATCAAATTGACAAATAAGCACATACCTCAAATAGGTCATCAAGAATCTTATTCCTATACTCCGTCTCCAAAAGCTGGCTCCTCTGTTGGGCGATTTCTTGGGTTTCAGTTCAATGCCCCCACACAATTGACAACCCACACACAATGATGGTCCATTTTCAGCACACACCTCCCACCTGAAAATAATATACAGAAAAAAGAGAGTAATATATCTGATTTATTTTCTTTGAAACAATTGGAAAAGAAAACAGTCTTAAGAAGAATTGGGTATACGAACTCACAAACAGAACAATGATGGCACCGAGGTGGTTTCGGCTGGTTGCACTTCCGACAATAACGGATCCTTGGATTCACTGGGTTTGCTGACATACCACCAAATTCTGCCTCAGTCAATGGATCGGTTTCACCTCTCTCCTCATCCGACACAGGCCTCCAATTAGGTGGCACACTACTCGGATCGGTAAAGACAACAGCGAAGTAACTCCACAATAGCATTACTAACTGCACAATTATTATGATTACATGCCTCTTTAGCTAACGTTTGCATATAAATATATCAGCTGCCACTTTTTGGTTATTGGAAATAAAAGTCAAAACTACATAACCCTATTCTTGTCCGGGTCTCAACCAATTCAAGAAAAATACAGAAATCAGTATATCCCAAACTCCTAATGACATTATAGAGCTAAAATATTACTAAAATTGTCAAAGACCTTCGATCAAGTAATTAATACATAATGAAAGACAGTGATATTTTCATACGACTGATGATGAGTGAAAATTGAGAGATAAGTTCCTTCAATCAATCCAATTGTAATTAATAATTTCTAAACATAAAAAAATAATAAAACAAACCCATTTCCCTATCCCCATTCCCTGTCACAAAAATCTCTATAGCCCTCTTTGTTTTGTGCTTCTTAATTCTTTCTTTTCTCCACTTTCCGATGAACACAGCAGGATAACAAAATCTCTTCTGTCTCCCATTATTCCTTTGCTTCCTTTATTCTCTCTGTTAATTTGTTGCACAGATCAAAACCATTCATAAACAAACAAATATCTTTTTTTTTTATCGAGATAAACAAACAAAATAAACAGACAAATAATGATAGAATATGAATTATATAACCAAATTCAACAGAAAATATGATTTAATCTGGGTCTTTTCTGAATTTGGCTCGACTATTTTTATTTTTAATTTTTTTCCCCCTGAATCTACATGAGGTTGAGCCATCTAGTTTTAATCTGGGTCTTTACTGAAGACAAATGATGCACAGCTCTGTTTTGTTCTTTTTGGTAATCCAAAACTCAGAGAAATGCCAATTGCCTCTGAATGCATAGTGCCTCTTATATCACTGATTCAATCTGATATGGGTACAGCAATGGAATTTGGTGTTTGTGCTTTTCAGAAATTACAACAGTGGAACAGCAAGTGGAGCTTGCAGCAGCTAATGATGTTGTCAATCTTCTTGTCGGTTTGGTTTCTGGATCAAATAATCGAAATCTGATCGCAAGAACAAACTGATTAAAGTGGAATTGAATCAGTTTCTGCAAATCAGTTTCTACAATCTGATCCCATTTAATCTGTTCTACAATCTGTTCTTGATCATTCAAAAAATACAACAGAGAGAGGGAGGAGGACAGGAATACCTTGTGATGAAGAGGAGCGTCGGTTACAATAATAAATGATCAGATTGCGAGTGGTGATGAAGAGGAGCATCGCAAGAACAAACTGATGAGAACAGAGAAGGGAGAGGGATAAAGATAGAAGGCATGAGAGACGTGCGCAAGCGGGAAGGTGAGAAGAGAGAGATAAAGATAGAATAGAGGGGAGACGTGGGGAAGGAGGAAGCTAACTCTTTGGGTAGGAAGATATATATTTAGGATTGATATAAAATTAAGGGGGTTATCTGAGCCATCCATGTGAATATACAAATGAATCATGACCTTTGAAATGTCCTAGTAGGACAATTGTGTCTAACATATTTTCAAAATCCGTTCTGCTTTATTATATAGATTGTAGTTATTTATGTGCAACAGTAGATTCTTCCAAGCGATTTTGGGTAAAGATGAAGAAGGATTATTCTTTGAGAAGAGACTCAAATTAATTAAATGTGGAAATCTATATAATTTTCAAGTGTGCCTTATGAGAGCATAGTAGTTATTTATTTATGTGCAACAGTAGATTCTTCCAAGCGATTTTGGGTAGCAAAACTTTCAAGTAAATAACTTGTCACAAATTCATGGTTTATTTACTTTGTAATTCATTTTCACCATATCAGAGAGTGTGGTTGAAGAATGATGTGACAAATATCAGTTACAGGAGTGACAATGCCTCCGATCAATTCCAGAAATAATGGTACTCCTAGTTTATGTGTAGTTTATAAAATGATAAATAAAAACAATATCTTTAGTATCCATATTTTGAACATGTGAAATTAAAATAAAACATATGAAATTATTTGAATGATTGTAATTGCATAAGCATGTCACCTGCTTTGAGTATATGAGAATTTTGTCAAACTCCCTCTTCTCAGCAAATGCAGTAACAACTTTTGGAGTCACTCTTTCTTTAATGTAAATTTTCAGTGCAAGGTCATTATCCACTGTCTACAATAGAAACAGGATTCATTACATCAGAAATTCCAATAGAACAGATCTGATAAATAATATAGAACAAGCGACTTTGGGAAATTATTTTCATTTCAGGTAAATTTTTGTAAGTATAGTTTAAACAATGAGTAAATTTGAAACAGAGAGATTAAAAATAAAGGATTACAGAAAAGTTTTGTATAAGAACTATAGCACAATAAACACCATGAAAAGTTCAATCTTCCAAATCAAACCTTCACAAGATCTCCAAGCTCCTCGCTACATTCAAGTTTGTCCTCTGCCAACCAATTCTTCAAAAGATTCTTTTTGTTCTGATTTACAACAAGACGAGATAGTTCCAATGACTCAAAAGCATTGAGCTTTCCCCTAGTTAAAAGAGTTCCAAAGTACTGCAGCAAAGGAGGTGTTTGCCCAGCTTGCACTGGAACACTCTGCAAAGCATAAAGAGTAAATGAGGGCCTTGACATTTACACATTCTGAAGACAAATGGTTAGGGCTGATATCATGTTAATAAAACCTGAAATTTAGCAACAGTGTCAGAAGTGTGGAGAATTCCCTGCGGTGACTCTGCAGCAAGTTCTGCAGCCTCCTTATACTTTGTCTGAGCAAACAATTCTTGGAACCGCTCAACAACCTGAGAAAGGAAAAAAAAATAAAATCAAAAACAAAAAATCAAATTCAACCACCATTATGGAAGTGAATAGGCACCTGTCAGCAGACATCAACCAAAGCATCAGTCACTTAAATTTTTGCCACCCTCTCTATTTGACTTAAATAATGTCCCAACATATACTTTTTTTCATAAGAGAAGCTTAATACAAAAAAATAGACATTGACAGGTGTCCGGAGCTTCTGAGAATGTATTTTTTGCAGTGTTACATGGACTCTTCTACAGTTTAGTCTAAAAATAAGAATATACTAGTTGTTACCTTCCCTTCAACATGCATGTCCGACAGGTGCAACTTCACCCACATTCCGCAAACCATTCACTTCCTTAGTTGTATACACAACACACCACACCACATGTTGCAAAGTTTCACATATCACAACTGCTGATTCAGCTAGTTCTTCATCAGATGGATTGGCAGTATGCACACCTCACAGCAACACAGCAGGAGCAGCAGCAGCCGCAGCAAGCATCAGCCACCACGGCAGCAACAGCAGCAGCCAGCAGAATTAAAGATGAAGCCATTTTTTCTTTCTTTTGGGAACAAAAAAAGAATTTGAAAACAAGTTACTGCAAATGAATATAAAAAATGCAAGATAAAGTAAGACACATTGACACCCTATACTTTTTTCCTGATGATTAAAATATTGTCAGCCTAACCATCTAAAACAAATTCAATCTTAGCTTCCCATGACCTATTATTACTTAGCAATTCATACTACACCTAAACCCTAATTGATTCTCTTCCTGAACGTGTATTTCTAAGTAACTTGTATTTCTCTGTAAAACATTCCAAAAAAACCTTTACATAACATTGCGTAAAAACTAAACTGAACACATCATAACAATTAGTAATGTAACCAAATTAATATCAAATGCATTTCAATATCCCAAATTTTATTCAAATATCCAACTATACTAAACATAAGAATCCTAAAATGCGTCTAACTATATCCAACAATCCCAAACATAATAATTCCAAAAAGTATATAAACATTCAACAGAAAAACCTATAAAACGAAACAAAGAAAAATTAAATGAATGCCAACGTGCAAAACGATATATATCACTACTGAACCACGAACATCCATCACCAACCTGTGAACAAAGGATAAAAACATGAGTAATTTATTAATGCATTAACTTCAACAATAATATACAAATATAGTTAAAATTAATCAGAAAATTGTTGTGAAGCTATTGTTTTATCAAGCTATTGTATACAAAGGTTGTAATGCTAGGATTGTAATACAAAGTTTATCTAATTTTATATTGTTGACACATGTTAGGATTGGTTAAATAAAGTAAATCAATTTAATGAGGTGTCAAATTTACCTTTATTTCAACCGAGAGAAGTTTCATCCTCCCTTACACCCGATGCATCCTCCCCGACATTGTTGCTTGGAACTAACCCCGGAATGTTTGCTAGATCTATCCCATTTTTTGCTGCCAACATTTGAATGATAGTTTGCATTGTACTCATGTTTTGAGCCTGGTCAACTAACTGCTTTCCTTGGTCAGCTAATTGTTGTCGCTGGTCAACTAACTGCTGTTGAAGAACAATCACCTCGGAGTTAGGAGCCTCAAAATGTGTAAAAGATGAAGTACTGTCCTTGTGGATCCCGTATCCCTTCAAGTAGACCGACCTCTTCCCAAGTACTTCTCTGGAAATCTGCTCTTCAGACAATGGATGTGTGACACTAGGTTGAGATTGCTCAGCGATTTTTGAAACCATAGTGGCCTATGAATGAAACATAAATAAGCTTAAAACATAATATCAAAATGCAAACATTTATTATTGAAATTGAAATAGTTATGGTTACATGATGTTCCTCAGCTGTGTTATTTATCCACACTCCCCCATGTCGGTGACGTTTGTGGATGTCCTCGAATAGTTTCGTAATAGTCGGTTTGCTTCCTTGTACCTTTCATTTCATTAGATTTTCTAGTCAATCAAAAAATTATGTATTTATAATTTAGTATGTTCAAATTTGTAAATCTACACTTACAATGATAGATGCTCGCGATGCAAATGATCTCGAGCCGCTCGTATGATTATACTTCACACAACCTCTCGCTTTCATCGCATTCTCTGACTTTACCTACAAATTAAAAAAAAAGAAGGTATTAATATACAGGAGGATGTTACTTTAGTAAATATTTTTATAAATACCTTCCAATCATCAGTTTCCCACAAATTGTCAATCATCCATTCCCAATCATCCTTTGTACAAGGATATAGTATCTGACTTTTGAGGTCAGATACATTGTCTTCTTTAAGGGATTTGTAGTGTGTGTGTAATCTACTTTTCCATTCACTGTACAAATTTTTGCACTTATGATCAATAATACATCTCATATCCACATCATTATTGTAGTCCCCAAAGTCAAAAGTTTGCTGCAATTTGAAATAATAAAATTCAATATAGTTTATATATCATTGCGATTAACATAAATAACATGTTAAATATATAACACATACATTTCAAATTACCCCAACTCTTGTAACAATGGACTCTCTTAACCCAAAGGCAATTTCTAGCCATCCATCATTTCGAACTGGGGCATGAACTCGAATTTGTTGACCAAGAACAGCTGCTAGCGGTGTGGCGTAATCCCCTTCTATTGCTTTGGTCAAACGGTTAAGTGTAACGGGTATTCGATCACCACGTTCCTTTCTAATCTTCTCAACATTCTTTCCTCGGGTCGGTCCTCGTACACGTTTCTTGCCCAAAACTGGAATTGATGCTATTATGACCAAAATTTTATTCAATTTAGTCGACATAAAACATGAATGCACTAAATAAATATTGAGACAAGAAATTATCATTTCATTTAAGTGGTCATTTATTTCTCACCTCCACTGTTAGTCACAATACATGGACTTGAAAGGTGGTTAGGTTGAGTGGCGGAGGTAGGGAGCTGATCGGGCCTAGTATGTAAGGCGGGAAGATGGATAGGTTGGGTCGAGACCTCAGGTGTGCTCTCTGAATGATTAACTTGTGCAGGGGCTTCCATTTAATCTGAATAGTTGGTGATTTGGAGCACTTTGGTATTTGGGCTCTCATCTTTGTCTTCACCATTTGTGTTGTTTTCTTTGAGGTAGGGATTTCCTACTCCATTTTATAGGTTTTGCTCTAAGTTTTGGTATTTTGATGTGTTGGGTTACTTTGGTAATTTTCGGGAAAACCCTAGTTGTTGTAATAAATTAATTTATATAATCAATTCAGGGAAAATTGGGGAATTTAGTTGAATTCATGGAATTAATGACTTTATTGATTAAATGGTGTAGTTGGTTAGTTTAATCACTCACCTATGAGAATGTTGGAATTATGTTAGTTGATACATTTATTTCCTGTTTAGAAATAACTGTTTTGGGCTATCGGTGGAGGATAGTCGTGATTGTTGTAGACATTGCATGTGGATTAGGAAAAACTGAAACTAATCACATTGGTTAAGTCATTGATTTAGACTGTTGAATTAATACAGAAAATACATGTATTGATTGTGTGTTGTATATGACGAGTGTTTAATACATTGTATATGCATTTTTGTTTGGGAGGAGATAGGGGATGGACTCCATTAGCATCACTTTTATGTGTGCTTATTTATATAGAAGTGTTTTATTGATACAGCACTAAAATGTGTATCAATCTGAAAGTATGAAGTGTTTGATATGAGCTTGAGTCTCATTTGTTGTTGTTAATGGAAGGATGTGAATATGATATATGTGATTCACTGTTGTAAGTTTGGCCAGGTTCTGAGCCATATTGATAAAATTGGAAAGTAAAACGTATCTTTGGCAATAATGTCAAGAGACTGTAAAATGAAGTAATGGTTAACCACCTGTTGAATGCTATTGCATGCTATTGCTTTATTCATTGCTTATATGTGGTTTAGTATATTTCTACTGGGCTGTGGCTCACTCTATATGGAAACATCATTTTCAGGTTCAGGTGATAAGCTACCTCCAAGGACTTAGCTTGGGAGGGTTTGGCTTCTGGATTTGAAGAAGACTATCTTTAGTTAATTGTCTTTATTTATTAGTACATGTAAACATTCAAGCCTCTTGAATGAACTTCCATTTTTAATTTTATGCAACTTCCATTTTTATTTTTGTTCAACTTCCATTTTTATTCAATTTCTTTTTCTATTGAATTTCCTTTTTTATTTAAAGTTGGGGTTACTTTGATAATTTTAGTGGTTTCTTGAATGAACTTACATT